AAAGCTTGCTCCCAGGGGGTAGGTTGTCTTCAAATTCTTTTTTGAAATTCTTTCCCTTTATAATGACTGCTGGGAGCAAGAATGTGCCTTCCGCATTGCAGCAGGCTACTAAGGTAATGGTTTCTCCCTGCTCAGAAGAGGTGATGGCGGAAACACTTTTTGAACCTTTTTCAGCTAAAACTTTATCGGGGCGAATGTTCAGCTGGAGACCTGATTCATCTATATTAAATACATTCATCGGTTTGTCAAATAACTGATTTTCCTCCAAGACCTTTTGCAACAAATCAAAATACTTTTTTACCATCTCACGGTTCATAGATCGACTTCTTGGTAGAGAAAGACCTTCGGATTTCCTAATAGTAATTGTGGGGTTTCGCCTCAGAAATGATTGCAGCCAGACCTGTCCAGCCATTTCGTTGTTAGGGTTAAATTTATGCCTAAATCCCATTTGATTGGCGAAGCAAGTCTGCGCACATCTTGTCTGGTTAAGGCAAATCCGTTTTTCTGCATATTTTTGATATGTCTAACCAACCTCATCTCATTGGAAGTACCCAACAAAGAATCAGGGCCCAGCTTCCCTTTTTTATCGTTATGTTTAAGCCTTCTTTCCAAGGTCTTGCGAGGAACTTGAAATGATAAAGAAGCTCTTTTAACGGACATTAAACCATCTTTAACTGCTGCCATAGCATTTTTAAGGTTGTCCTCTGTCCAACTTTCTCGATTATTGAAACTTTTTCGCACGTACACGTTTGGCATCTAAAAAAACATATATCAAAAGTGGGTAACTCCGAATATATGCCCAACAAGACGAAAACAATTGATGGGTTTAAAAAAAAAATAAGTAAAACGTAGTAGAGATGGCCATATGGCCATCTTTCCTTTAAAAAGATAGGGCCATCTCTCCTTATTGTATAAGATAGATGGCCACCGTGTTTACTAAAATCCACGCGACCGGTGGATAAAAATTTGAGGTTAGGTTACATTCATAAAGTCTAGTGAGAACGTTTATGCGAGAAAAAATGCGATATAGATGGTATTTCCGTCAGAATTACAGTTTAATTAACATAACACAAAAGTTTTTATCTTGCTTTTGCCCACAATGCCACCACAACCGACCCATACGATGCAGCTGACTACAGTAATGTACAATGTACGCCACCTATCAGAAAGCCAGCGAAATAAAGAGACTGGGCCGTCTATCCTCTATGGCCATATTTCCTCGACTTACCCTACATGTAAACAAAAAATTCTATTTTACTAGCTGCAGTCCAAACGATTTGATGGATTTTGACATGTGAGGCACTGTTAGATTCGTCCTAGCAGTGCGAGTGGTACTGTGTGTATTAACATTCCAGGCATTCCAGGTGCGGAAGCGTTCAGTCTTCGCTCCGACCAAAATTCTAAGCCAGGCAATGGACCAGCGCGGAATTTGTTCTAACGTTTGGCATCTGAGTAGAATCATGTCATATTCTCCGCGAGCTTATGCAGAAATGCATTACTATTATGGTGCTGCCCGCATGTATCAGGAGTGGTTAGAAGAGGTGGACCACAACCGGCGGTATATTCCGACTACCGCGTTTTCCTACACGTCGATAGTAGATGTTCTACGCGGGAACCCGACCGGAAGTGATACAAAACAGCCGACGGAAGGCTGCAGGTCGTCCTTATCGGTGTTGTGTTCGCGTCCGGTTGTGATGATAGTAAGGTGACGTCATACATCATTTATGTCACGTGTGCGGCTAAACACAATAGGTTCTGAACTTGTAGATGGTAAGGATACTATTGCGTTTCTTACGTTTATCGCATCACAACAACGAATGTGACATGATACACTCACCGTAGCAAAGCTGAAATTTTCAGGGTTTATTCTACAAGGATTGAAACAGTGTTTACAATGAAATGAATAATGAAATACCACCTCAATTTTTTGACCGCCCTCCGAAGTTGAGGGATTCAAGAGATTTTGCACAAAAAAATGAATTCAAGATTTTTTGCGTTGAGTTCTAATAAACTCGGTTAAAAAGTGACATAACCATTGCTAAAACTAACCATTTAGCTGATCTCAGAGAAAAAATCACAGCCCTAAACCTAATGGTTTAGTTGTAATTGCGATTGAAAATTCATTGTCCCTTTTTTTTTAGAAATTTCACAAAATTGCAAATATCTGCTGAACTATGAAATTTCGGACCACACATACACGGGTTCATTCGTTAGGTTTTGAGGCCCTCTATCACCTGACTTCCGTTGATCCACTACTAACACCCTGAATATGTAATGTACAAGTATAGTAAGTCACATCGAAAAAAGAACAACTAGTAATAATAAATTTATTACTGAAATGTTTTGTATACATGTACCTTAGGATTATCGCTTGGATCTGCCTATTTTGATTTTGAGTAAGAAGTGTTTGCGTTTATCATCAATCTTGTCACTTTCACCCTGGTGGAGTGCAATCCAACCCTTAAGCCTAAAATATGATACTTATAAGTACTATATAACATAAGTTTTGTGCTTTTATATACTGATTCGCTTATAACTCAACTACTACAGCTCAAAACGTCATAGTATGTGATATCAATCCTATTATTTTGGAAGGTTCTATTTAAAAATGTAATAACACATGCACTCCGCCTCGCCGAAGGGTGAAAGTAACAAGATTGGTATTAGGGGCAAAACATTTTCCCCTTGAAATAAAACTCTAGAGATCCGAGCGAATTTTTTCCAGATGCTATACAGGGTGACCCGAAAAAAGTGTGCAATATTCTACCAGCGGTTTCTACAGCTTAAAATAGGAAGAAAAGTTTATATAAACATAGGTCGAAAAACGTCCCCTAAGGTCGCTACGGTCTTTTAAAGGGGCTCCACTGAAGATGGTTTTTCCTTAATATTTCCGAAACGTGTTGAGATAAAGACATACAATTTGGTATTCTAGCCTAGTTTTTTATGCTGGATTTAAAAATATTAACAATTTTAGACAGTTTTGTTTGGAAGCGTATGTAACAGGGACGGTTATTTTAGCCCTAAAATTTTTGAAATTAAATTTTAGAATTTGAAAATTTAGGGTTTTCTACATAAAAAAGGTACTCTTATTGAATATCGATAAATTGTGCCATTTTTGAATAAAATCAAACTAAAAAATTTGTCACATGATAGGAAATGTACTGCGAATTTAAATGAATTCTTGAATAATTATCCATGGCAACGAAAAAATATTACATAAATACATATTTCTATTGCAACATAGCTAACATCTAGGCAAAAACAAGAGAAATAAATTTTTTCTACGAACGAAATTGAAATTTGTTTAAAAAAGAAGACATACAGATATACTTAAAACTAGCTTTACAATAAGTGTTCAAATAAATTCCCATTTTGTTGGATACAGAGTCTCGCTCGACGAACTAATGATTGCGTAGCCCGAAAAGTGGAAAACCTTTTTCTTCTTATTTCATTTGCAGCCTGATGGATTCTTTGAAGTAAATCTTCTTGAATATTTACTTTAGTCGAGTAAACTAGGTCTTTTAATGACCCTCAAAAATAGAAATCCAATGGATTTAGGTCAGGTGAACGTGGCGGCTACGCTATAGGACCTCCACGGATTAACCACCTGTCTGGAAAATTGACATTCTCCCAATTTCAAACATTGCGTCCAAAATGTGCAGGGGCGCTATAATATTGAAAAAACATATTTTCTTGAAGCTGCTGGCGCACATTAAATGGTATTACATCCATGAGCTCATTCTGAAGAAAGCTCAGATATACCTCTGAATTAAGACGATTGGGAAGTACAATAGGCCTAATTACTTGATCCCCAATTACTCCTGCCCATAAGTTCACTGAAAATCTATTTCGGAAATTTATACGGCGAACAACTTTTGGATTTTCATCTGACCAGTGATGCATGTTATGGAACTTAAAAGCACCATTCCTAGTAAATATTGACTCATCCGACCATAATATTCTAGGAATAGTGTTTTCATTTGCTAATATCCACTGGCAAAACTCGATTCGTGGTAAAAAATCTGAATTCGTTAAATGCTACACGCGTTTAAAATGATAAGGATGTAATCCTTGCATCTTGTCATTCTTTATATCTAAAATTATCATTTTTAGGATAACTATCAAATAGGTATTCATAAATTTTTCTTACTATTGATCGAGGTATACCCATAATTTCTGAAACATTTCGTATGCTTATTTGCGGATTATTTTCAAACATATTTAAAGCAATATCCATACGATGATTTCCCAGTGGCCTTACTGAGCCCTGCATGCGCTGAAAACTTCCATGGTTTGACAAATTCCGGCGAATATCAGTAAACATTCGACGTCCAGGTACTATGAGATTGGGAAATCTTTTTTGATATTCTCTTACAGCTGCCAATGAACTGCCATTGCAAAACCCGTACACAAAATGCATGTCAGACAGTTCTCCGTCTGTAAATCTTGGCATTTTAAATCGATTTAATATTTTGATTTTAATCTAGTAATTTTACACTGCTAACAATGTCAGCTTTACGTCAAAATAAGTCATAACAAATCAAAACAACTTTTGTTTGCAGTCATGGCTAAGTATGTATTGTATAATCAACAATTCATTTAAATTCCTATTATGTGAGAAATTTTTTAGTTTGATTTCATTCAAAAATGGTACAATTTATCGATATTCGATAAGAGTACCTTTTTTATGTAGAAAACCCTAAATTTTCAAATTCTAAAATTGAATTTCAAAAATAGAATCACACAGAAATTTTGGGGCTAAAATAACCTGAGTCTGTCCCTGATACATATGCTTCCAAACAAAATTGTCTAAAATTGTTAATATTTTTAAATCCAGCATATGAGAAATTGGCCTGGTTTCATTTTCACTAGCCCACCCTGTAAAGAGATTTCGAGGTTCAAATTGTCAGTGTCAGTCCTTACTAACTGCAGAGAGCCTAATGTCAGCCACCATGTGTGCTTGTCATTTTTTCCCATTTACCATTTACATATAATTTACCATGAAACTCTTTTTACTATTGTTTATAAGTGCTTCCATTTTAGTATCTACTTATGCAAGTGAAAATCGAGGTGAAAATACCAGTACATCATCGGTGGGTACAGTTCTTTACTCCCCATCGGATGTCGTGAAGCAGTGTTGGTCTCAGGACGAAATCGCTATCTTAAGTGCAAGAATGATACTAGAAGATCTCCTGCCTGACGTGAAAAGCTTGCACTTAGATTCTAATGAATATGTGGACGATTTGGTAGATTATTTTAAGCTAATGGTTGAGACGGTCCGATCATGTACACATGGAAGGAAAAGGCATTTGACTCTGATCGCCCTTACAGATTTAATTGGGGGCTACCTGAACCACGTAGCGCTCCCGATAGCCAGAAAAGCATACTATGCCGGAGCGATAGATTATTTCAGTATGGAAAAGCTCATTGAACTGTTTGAGGAGGTGAAATGGTTCCTCAGAACAAATGGTCAAGGATGGGCCAATCCAATTGAAAATGTACCCGAGATGGAGATAGAACCAGTAAGTGTGAACACAGAGTACATGAAAAATTCAAACCACAGCTTTTGTAACAGGCTCATTTACTTCGTACATGGTCAAGCTCAGGCATGTCCTACACCTATTGCTGCTTCACCAGAGGTTATCATGCCTTTACCGTATTTTGACGCCAAGATATATCCATCTTCGATTGCTCTGCCATTCAGAAGATATGCTCTAAGGAATATCGAGTCAAGAAAGGCATCGTATGGGGTACTGAAGTTTTATATTTTGGCTACTAGATGCTTGCATGAGTTAAATGCCTCACCAAGTAGTGTCAAGAGGTTCCAGAATGAATTCTACTCCTGGATAGAACGACAAGTAGTCCCCAAACTTGGTGACAACAAGTTTTACTCAGCCTTCGGAGCAATTCTTAGGGTTGAAGAAACTTTGAAGGGTAATGGTGGAACATTGGTAGAAACCACAACTAAATGCGAAGAAATAGAAGAAGAGGTGAAACCTAATGAAGAACACCACTCGAAGAACACTACTCTTGTCATGGCTATTATGCTGATTGTAATCTTTGTATGGTTCATCCTCGGAACTTTGTTTATCTGCTGTAGAATGAGAAGACAAGCCAAAGATAAAAAATCTGAGGAAGATCAGAAGAAAAAGAAAGGTAAATGCTTCACTTCAGGTGACTCTTCAAGCGGAAAATGGTCATACTTTTCCAAGTCAACTAACAGAACAGAAAAATCTGCTGGAAGGTCGCAATCTGGTTATACCAGTACCGGTACAAGCAGCAAGACTGATAAGGCGGATAAGAGTGATAGGCACAGGGGTGCCTGCAGGAAACTTCGTTTTTTTTGCTCTAGCTCAGCCAGTAGCGAGTCAGATAGACGAGGAACCGAAGTACGCAAAGTACCCAAAGGGCCCGTAGAAAACAGGAGATGTTGTCTACCACCTGGGATGTCACTACCACCTGGGTACTACAATACTAGTAACCCAGCAGTGATAGACACGAAACATTCAGTGAAAGTTTTAGCTTCAATCGCCGAACTGTCTGAAAACTCATCACATGTCAGGAAAGAGGTTTCAGTTGTACCTTGCCCGAAGTATACCAATATTGCTTCAAGCAATATCAGCAAAAGTAACGACCGGGGGAAAGGAAGAGACTTTGGAGCACAAATATCATCTGAACGAATGGAGAACGTAGACGTTGAATGCTGGTGTGAAGCTATGAAAACCAAAAACAAAAAACATTCAGTTGCAGTAAAACAGTCCGTTGAAGAATCAGCACCAGTAATATTCTCAGAACCATCGGCAACGTCTCATACGTCCAATGCGTCTCACAGATCTCAACATGATTCTAATGTTGAAGAAACAGATACTAATCCAGGATCTCTTAATGTAGTAGAGTCAGTCCACACACATGTTGAGGAAACCACAGATGAGACCAATATGACGGGAGCCTTCTCAATGCTTACACCTGGCTCTCCGCATTATGACGCATGCCATTCAAGCCTTACTGGGGAGTTTAGCATGTCCAGAGAGGGCAAGAAGCCGTTCGGATATGATTTCGACACGTCATCGTCTGAGGAGGCAGATGATACATAAAGAATGTCGGCATATGTTATTTTTATATATAAGTTCTATATTGTACATATTTTGTACATTATTAACCCTTAACCTACCATGTGAGTCATCTGGACGCAAAGATCCATGTGGGGTCTCACAGACCACTAACTGGGCAGATAGTAAAACAAGTTATTTTTTGGAAATAATTTATTATTGTTATGTATAAAGCAATAGGGATCCTACTACTACATGTAAATGAGGAAAAACGGTTTGTTTCTAAATTGGGTTCTGACAACAACAAATATCTGGAAAACTATATCGTAACTTGACCTAGTTAAACATGTATTCTTAAAAGCTCACAAAAAAAACATTAGCGACCTATGTAGGAAAATATGTGTCTGAAACATTTTTTCGGAACCTAAGCTGTATAAAAAATAGAACTCAAAGGAAAATAACACTGAAATGCTCCTCTAGCAGAAACTAATCAACCGTCTTTTTTGCGCATGTATTACATAGAGGCTTTGAGCACTGCAAGCAAATCGCCCGTCTACACTGCACACAGAGATACTTTTTCTTGCGATGTTTTGCTGCAGGACACAAATAGCATGCTTTACGTGTTTTAAGCAAAAGCTCCCCTTCATTCTGCGTTTCGTTTGTTTCCGGTATCCTCAAAATTCTACTAATATTGCTGCGTATTTCAGGAGGCACTCGAACATTTGCTAGTCTTCTTTCCATGTTTTCTCGAACTAATTCAGCAACCAGTTGTTTTGCAAATACTGATTTATCTTTTATCATCTCATTGTCTTTGAAAGTTTGACGTAAAATAAATGAATTTACAATAGATACATCAAGAATACGGAAGAATTTTGCAAGCGGCCATCTACGTATTCGCCGGCTTTTCGAGCATTTCTCGTCGAGTGTATCTACACCGCCTTTGGTCCGGTTATAAAAAGAAATTATTTCTTGCTTTTGGGTTTCAGGGTCGGTGCAGCGCCTATTGTGCATAGAAGAAGCTAATAGTGTTGCTTGTCCTTTCTTTCCCACATAAGAAACCAAAGTCATATCTTCACGCAATCCATACAACGATGATCCTTCTTCACTTCTCACTCGTGAGTAGCCGTAATGATTACCGGCTGTAGTGCTGTAGCGTGCGTGAAATTATATATAATTTTTAAGAAAAAAAGGTGATCATTGAAAATGGAAGACCAACACCTATTTTAAATAATTTTAAAAAGGAATAAAAAAACGTACTTTGATATTTTAAATTAAGTTGGTATATGGAAACTCTTGGTTATGTGGTTGCAAAAAAACAGATTGTACTAGCAGCGGAGTCAACGATTTAAATCGTGTAAGGGCTCTAAAGAGGAGACATGAAATTTCTCCGTTACATGTGAGATGTGTAGTCAATTTAATTCAGTTTGGAAAAACAAAAATGGAAAGTTGTCTTAACCAAGCTTTTAGGCAGCACACTTCTAGATACCGTATGTTTTTTGGCTAAACTGGAATTACCGTTCATTTTGAAGGGGATGACTGTGACAATAGAGGAAATTACAGAGAATTGTTAACATTCATTGCCAAAAAAAATCAAACATTTTCCGAACATCTAGAAACGTCGACTGTTTTTTCGGACGGCTTGGATTAGTCATAGTATAAGACGATGAGGATTATCAAGCGCCCCAGACGCTCAGTCCAGGAATGTTTACCTTAATTTAAAAATAGTTTAAATAAAATACCTAAAATAAGCAAAAACTTATATTTGGGAGGCTCAAAATAAACTGTTTTTGGTAACAGTTTAGGAAATGTCACGCTTCGCCACTGCCTTGACCGGTCAATCAGATGGAGTGGAAGACATCTATCAAATGGTAACCGCATTGGCGTATGAATTACCCATCAGCTGGGAAGCACTCTTTCTAACTGCTCTGATGAAGCCGGAATTAGCAGCGACTTCAGGGCATGTGTGACTAATTTAGGGAGATCAGTTTCTACCTCATTCCAAAATACAAGAAGTTTTATTAGCCTCTAAAACTGTAAAATAGCGCGTCGACAGCCGCATATTACGATACGGCACCAGTTACTTGTGCGATTTCAAGCGACATGTAACTGAATTAGATAACTTTTTTTACATACACTGTACACAACGGAATATTTGCTCCATTTTTGAACAAAATGAGCTCTAGTTCATTAGTTTTCTAATTTATAGTGCGTCCAACCACATTATTCGTATAGTTGCCGGTACACTAATGTTTTGACGTTTGCAAAATAACCTTACCTGACCTATACTATTCTATACATTGTCTTCACTATTGTATACATAGTATATATTATATATGTATTGTTTACATTGTCTGAGCGTTATCTATCTACATCGAAAGTGTGGGCGTTTGATAAGTTTATTTAAGCCTACTTTGAAAATCGGTTGCGCCTATATCAACAGTTCCCTTGTTATTTTGATTATATACAGTGGACCCCCGATAATCCGGCCCCTGTCTAATCCGGCGCCCCCTGTAATCTGACATGTCTTTGAATATGTATTACATACATACGTATTTGACAATCTTCGCTAATGTAGATCACGCTGGTTTGAACAGCTTACAACTTGTACGCGCCACCGCTATCGTGCTCGACGCGTAAGCATTGTTTTACTTAGTTTGAATTTGACTACTGGTGATAGCGGTACGGCCTAGCGTGCGTTCATTGTTTACTATTTATTCATTGTGTATTAAGTATAGTACTTAGTAATGTCATCACAAACTCAGAAGCGAAAGCACAAAACATTGACAATTAAAGAAAAATGTGATATTTTAGACCGCTTAAATCGCAATGAAACTTTCAGTAGCTTAGCAAGTGAATACGGCGTAGGCCGATCTACAATTTATGACATTAAAAGAAACCACGAGAAGATCAAGAAGTTCGTGACAACGAATGACTACGGGCCAGGCAGGAGACAGACACTCAAGAAAGCTGAACATCCAGAAGTGGAAGAAGCTTTGTACATGTGGTTTCTTTAGGAAAGAAATAGGCATGCACCAATTTCAGGACCCAGGTTGGCCATGAAAGCTAAGCTTTTTTATAAGGAAATAACAAAAAAAGATGATTTTTTGGCCAGCAAAGGATGGCTAGAACATTTTAAAAGTCGTCATGGCATACGTTTAATGGCTATTACAGGAGAGAAACTTTCTAACGATGCCACCTGCATAGAGCCCTTTAAATTAAGATTTTTGCAAAAGGTGAACGATTTAAATCTTGACCCGTCACAGGTGTACAATGCAGACGAATCAGGGCTTTTTTTCGTTACAAGAAACGAAAGTTTCTTGTAACGAAAAATCCGTACCTGGATGAAAAGTAAGTGAAGAGCGTGTAACCATACTACCATTACGGACAAAAAAGTGCATGGATGACAAAAGACTTTTTCAAAAAGTGGTTTGATGAATGCTTCGTACCTAAAGTTAGAAAATGGTTAAAAGACCATAATTTTTCCTCAAAAAGCGTTGTTGCTTCTTGATAACGCTCCCGGTCATCCGTCTGAAGAAGAACTAACAACTGAGGATAAATGCATCACTGCGATGTTTCTTCCGCCAAATTGCACTGCACTGATTCAACCAATGGACCAGAATATCATTCAGTTAGTCAAGCAAGACTATAAGAAAAACTTACTTCTGAGAGCCGTATCAAAAGACCAACCAATAGAAAAAACTTGGTTTTTGCTCTTTGTCAGTCGTGGAATGCGTTACCGTCATCAATTATTAAATCATCTTGGAAAAAGTTGTGGCCAGATATAGTCACCACTCCTAGCAACGTTCCACAAACCGGTGTTACTTCGGAAGTTATAGAACAAGTCGCTACTGAAACACAGATAAGTCCGGAAGATTTGGAAATCTGGTGCTGTGGATTGGATAAAGAGGAAAATGTTTTTCATGAAATGTCTGACGAAGAGATTATAAAAGAGGTTTCTAATTATACAACAAACAATCAGGAAAATAACGACGCTGTGATTGCAACTGCTCCACAAGTCTCAGCACAAGACGCAATTAACGCCTTTGAGCTAGTTTACAATGGGCTGCAGAGAATGGTACATCCTACAACGAACTTTTACTTTTGAGAAGACTGAGGGAAAAGCTCTGATCTCGCGTTATAGCAACCTTGAACAAAAAAAATTCATGAATATTTCCAAGCTTCATAATTTGATAAATTCATTAATGATTTTGGTTAATAATTCTTGATTATTTTGGTACATATGTATGTGCATTTATGCTTAATTTTAAAATAAAACGTAAGCTCTCTATGTTATTTAATTTACTAAATTCGACATACATAAACTATGTATGATTTGTACTTCAAAATACATACATATACATAACATATAGAATCTTACCATTGGATATGTAATTTGTCGGATTACAAGGTACTCTTTTGCAAAAAATTCCGGACTATAGGGGGTCTTAGGCAGTGCTCTATAATCCGACAAATTCGATAGTCCGACACTGCCCTGCATAATGTTTGTCGGATTGGAAACAGCGAATAATAATATTAATCAACATCTTGCCCAAATTGAAAAGTGTAGTAGTAGTCATAACCTCCGTTTGGATCCTTTAGGCCATTAATGACCTTAGCTGGATGAAAATTGATACAATGTTTAAATACCAGCTCCTAAGCATGACCTTATTGGATTCTTCATCCAAAAAAATGGTCATATTAAGAAAGCAAATTCATACGTAGAGGAAATATGCATGACATTAATGTTAGATATAGAGATACTTCTCTATTTCAGAACAGATATATTACATACATACATTTACAATACAATCAAATTATATAATTCCTTAGGCTGTAGATTTTTATTTTTGATAAATAACCTTGCCGCTTCACTAAAGTGTCACAGTCTACTACTTGCTGGTGATCTGAAAATCTACGCCAAAATTAAAAATTTGCAGAACCGTAATTCCCTTCAGAAGGATCTAGAATCTAGATTCTAGATACACACAGTGGTGTGACAAGAACATTCGCTTCTTAAACATTTCCAAGTGTAAAGGTTGTCCATA